GACTTTGTCAAAACACATTTTACTTATAATGGAAGGAATAAAGAACTTTGTCAGTGGAACCCAAATAAGAAGCGATGAGCTAAGCATCCAATGGTAACACGGAGAAGATCAAGTGAAGAGGAAATGAAAGCCTGTGAACTGTCATGAGGTCAGCCGGAAATGATAACAAATAGCTCAGTATCATAGCTGTGTGTCGCTGATGATCTGTGATCCATTCAACAAGAGAACGATGAATAGTAGTGATAAAAATGTCATAATAATGTTGATTGTTGAAAACAGTTAGGCTTTAGTAGAATTTTAAACAATTTTCCCTAATTATCAAGTATTGGTTTTGAAAGGATTTAACTGGATAGATAAGGCAGTGACCTGGGGTTCTAGTGGGAAGCCGTGACCAGTAGGGTACAGCAGGTTCAAGATGATGCTGTAACTCATCGAAGAAGACATTGCAAAGTGGTCGTGCTGTTATGAATTATCAGAAGTTAGAATTCATGCACTGGCCGTTGGATCAGTTTCCAGTGGCTTAATGGTCTATGAGCTCGCTAGCCTTGTAACCATAAGGTCGTGGGTTCGACCACTGTCGGTGGGTGTGCACGGATGAAGAGTCTCAGACTGGGACGAAATAGCCGTCTAGTAATCCCAGCTTGTTTTCCAATGGTTCTCTAACTGACATCAGCTCATTATGAAGTCCTCCATCCAATTCTCTAATTAGACTAGTATTTGTCATAAACCACAATATCATCTGCTAGATTAACGCGAAATATTACGTCATTTATTTATAGATTTGATCATAAGCTGACGTCACTTAGAGAACCATTGAAAACCAGTGAGTACTGAACAACCAACTGTTTCGTCCCCGTTTGGGACTCTTCTTCGTCATGCACCCGCAGGAGATGGAACCCTTGATTTTCCATTTACAAGGTAAGCTTGTAAACCATTCAGTCACTAGGATCCGATCCTATGGCCCATGAATACCAACCTCTGCCAATTTGTGAGAAAACTAGACCAACTGCCGGGCAATATCATGGACAGGTAACTCTCCAATCAAATCCCCGTTCACTAACACTTGAATGTTAGGTGGGCAAAATTATGTTTAGAATTAAACAGGAAGTTCATATGATGACAACGAGCTTGTGAATTATTAGTCAAGCAAAGAAAAAAGTAGGAGGAAGAATTTCTAATGCAGATCATATTTCTGGTAACTGAATTCTTTGCTAATGCTTGACATATGAAAATCAATAGTATCTACACATATTTTCAAATCAGTAACTATTCTCCTTCTTGTTCTCCATCATCTGTTGTCTATCTTAACAAAAATTCTTTCGCAAGGTTAATATTAAATTACTGACCTGTAAGTAAGTATGAACAGGTTGGACACTATTTTATAAACACAAAACCTAATTATTAAAATAGTGTAAAAGTATGGTACCAAGGTTTGACTATATCATAAGAATTGTCTACAGTATCGAACGTTCACTTTTGTTAGTCTCCACAGGTACATAATTACATATTGAGTGTGAATTAATAGGTTTTCCTTGTTGTTTAACATTATTGATTAAGTGGAGTTCAATCCTTAAAAAATTACTTTATCAAAGATTGCATACCTCTACTATTATGGTTATATAACATGTCCATACCTACACCAAATGTTGTTGACTCAGACCGATCACATATGTTTTAGTTACTTAGTGTAATTTTAGACATTAGAATGACGTAATTGTAAGAGGTGACTGTTATTTTGTGAAACAGTTCAATTACTAGAGGAATGCTTAAAAGTTGGCAGTTTACGTAACAGAATGGAAAACTCTTCTTATATATATATATATATATATATATATATATATATATGTCGGAATTTTAACTGTTTGGGGTCATGAACTTTAAGTTCTACAACTTTAATTATCCCTTGGTCAAAATGAAGCCAGTATGTAGTAGGTGAGAAAGACTTTCACTTCAAATGGTGAGTCTAGTAGTCACCAGCTTGTTAACAATATTTAACCCTGAAATTACCATTATTATTTTATTCCTTTGCGTTCCCAGTGGTACATACGGCTTCAAACTAGAGTTTTGAAGTCTTGAAGTGGCAATGGTAGTGTTCTTATTTAAGGGATAAGATTGCTAGTCTTTCTCTACCAGAGTTTGTTGGCCGGGGACTGAGATCCCGACTACTTGCGTGATTGGCTAGTGTTCTATCACCGAAGCACCAATGCCAAATTACCATTCTGTTCCGGACATTCTTGGCAACTTATAAGTAGCAGAAGAGGCTCAATAAACGCCGATCTAAAAGTTTACAGAACTTTCTTTTGAAAGAAATGTATCATTATTTTTAATAGTTAACATAATTAATTTCTCTAGTATTGGTCTTTTTGTAGGGATTTAGGTTGATTGGTTGGAGGATTTCACCATGACCTGACATCAGTTAGAGAAGCATTGGGAAACCAGCTGGCAGTACTGAACAGCTGTTTCGTCCTAATTTGGGACTCTTCATGAGTTCTCCACGACCAGTAGAGTACAGAAGGTTGAAGATGAGGCAGTAACTCTTCGAAGAAGACATTGTGAAATGGTCGTGCTATGTCATGAATTATCAGAAGTTAGAATTCATGCAGTGTCCATTGGATTGGGTCTACGAGCTCGCCAGCCTTGTAACCAGCACCCCGGTGGTGTGTGTGCGTACTGATGAAGAGTTACAGGATAGGACAAAACAGCTGTCCAGTGCCTCTAGATAGTTTTCTAGCGGTTCTCCAATGGTTGTCAGCTCATGATAAAATCCTCCAATTAATTAATTTCTCTTTCGAAATGAAAACTACCGTATGCTGGTTTATAATCATATTTATCTTCAAAACGATGAAACCCTTCAGACTAAAAACTTAATGTCAAAGCCTTCTGTAGTTTCTTTATCATATTGAGAAGTAGAATTTCTACCCTTTTTATAAGAATCAGTGACTTAGTGGATAAATTAAACCTGTATTGAAAAATAACATCCCATCAACAACTGGGAATAAGGAATTGCTTATTTTTAAAGGTAACGATTACCATATCTAACTAATTATTAAATATTGCAAACGAGTGCTAAGTGGAGGAGATATGGTCCATTGGTTTAAGCGTTAAATTTTCAGTCACTGGATCCTAGATTCGAATCCTATTCTACCTACTTTAAAGTGAACGACTGATGGGCATCATAAGCCCTCACAAAGTAACTGTGCCACATATTCCGAAACATGAGAAACAAGCCCATGTTTCATGAACTGAGGTAAATGATAATAATATTCCTAATTATCTGCCCAGAATAATACTTTGACTAGGTGGGACATCTATTCTGTCATTTGACGATTTTGCACAGTTAACTAAGATGACAGAACAGATAATCTGTTTGTTTTTTTACATAATTACTGATTATAAGAAGTCATTATACACCTAGTTGTTTAGATTGTATATCACTAAAGAGGCTCAAACTGTGACACATCATAGTTTTCAGAGCTTCTTGCAATGACTCTTCCAACTTAGTATGGAAACCACATCGAAGTACTAAATACCTCACAAATCATCCAAGTGAATGCAAAATATTTTGTTCCTTTATTTTGACAACACCAGTGATTACTAAAAATGATTATAAGCACACTTCAATCTTAGAAAGTTAGCACCATAACGTTGGATTAAAGTATACTGCCGAAAATGAATATATGTCCACTGATTACTTTACGGACAGAAGATAATTTCAGCTCAAAAACCGGCTAATTCTAATCCGGATTCAATAGGACTACAGTGCATCTTGTGATCTCTAGATGACAACTTAACTAAAAGACTCAAGGTTGACCTTTGTATTTAATGATGTATCTAATGTTTATCTGCTTAAGCCACAAATATTCTCAATTGTAAACCCTCTTTCGCTTCGTTTATTTTAATTATTTCATTGGTTGGATGATTTTATCATGCGTTGACATCCATTGGAGAACCGCTGGAAAACCATCTAGGGGCACTGGAGAGCTGTTCGCCGAAGTATGGGACTCTTCATCATTACGCACCCACCATCACGATTCGAATCCACGACCTTTTGGTTACAAGGCTGGCGAGATCGTAGACCATTAAGCCACTGGGACCCGATCCAATGGCCAGTGCACAAATTCTAACTTCCGATAATTCATGACATAGCACGACCATTTCGCAATGTTTTCTTCGATGAGTTACAGCCTCACCTTCAACCTGCTAAAATTCATTGACCACCTCCACTTGTCTTTACCAGATAAAAACTTTTCTTAAGCGTGTTACGCAATGGAATATAACTTACTGCAACATAAAAATAAGTGCTACCTACTAGCATACTATTGATTAAATTGTGTTTGATTTTGTTATTTACTACTTATTCATTAGTAAGTATAATACCAGATATATTTCTCATATTTAAAGCATATTGGTTTGTATGGCATAAAAATAGAAAAATAACCCCAATAAATTATAAGCCAATTCTTAAAAAAAACATAACTTCCCTTCTAAATTAGCGTGTAAAGTCAAACATTATATGTAAAATAACTTTTAAAATCAAGTGAGTCGGTGGCGTAGCGTAGAATTCTTGCCAACCACGCCACACGTGGTCCAGGGTTCGATCCCCAGCCGACGAGGCACTCCTTCACCTTGCTGGAAACGGGAAGGAATAAAAAACAGTCACTTTTATGTAGACCAAAAATACTTTGGTGTTCAGTTACAGAAACAATTGCAAATTATTCCGTGTCTAAAAGCATCCCCTTGTCCATCATCTCACATACTCCAGTTTCTCATTTGTGGACAACTAGAAATCACTCATACCAAAAATAAAATTGCCGTCTTGTATTAAGTAAAATAATTAAGGCGTATAGGCATCCTTTCCCATATATCAGTTCTTACATCAGTTATTCCGACTCTATTTCTATGACGAGTGGTCATTATGAAATTAGCATAACCGTAATATCCAAGGGATGATTGATTGATTTCCTTCATTTACATTCATAAAAAAATAATCTTGAACTTACCCAGTTTCATCACCGCCGAAATCATCCATTGAATCTTCAGTAATATTATTAATATGATTACTGTTAGCATTAGATTATTATTATTATTATTCCGTGTCTTCACCATTTTTGAATGCTGAATCGTACAAATAATTCCTCCACTTGTAAGAGAAGATATTTGTGTAATTCACACAGAAGTAGTTCTTTCTACTGCTACAACTATATACAAGTGAGGAGTTTTTTTTATTTCTATTGTTGAATAAACAATTTTACTGAGTAGATAGATAGATTGTCAGGCAGAGGGGAAGACTGGGGAAATTTCCTGTTTTCCGATTGGTTGTTTGTCTACCAATCACATTTCAGCCTACTACTATATGATACTAATGAATGAGGGAAAGGCATATAGCTTTCCTCTAGCTTTTCCTCTAAATACTTGATTCTAGTATTAATATATGATTCATCTAAATAAAACCTTCACAAGTAGATGAAGAAGAAAATCATTGGTCGCGCTAACATATAATAAATAATAGAATAAATAGGCATTTCAGTAATTTTAACTAGAAAATATAAAGGACAGGAGTGTTCTTAAAGAAGCAAAAGATATTGCAGTGTTGTATATTTCACTTCAGCGACTGGTTTACTAAGAAAACAAACAGTGAAAAATTCAATTTTTTGCAGCTTTTACTATCCTAGAATTCATTATATGAACATGCCGTCAAAGGAAAGAAGATATTAGAGCTTTATACAATTATGGAAATACGAAACTTCGATGTGAAACATTCGGTCCCCCATAGGATAGGGTAATAAATGCGTACTACTGAAGAGTCCCAAACAAGGAGGAAACAATTCAGTCCAGTACTCCCTCGTTTTTCTATGGTTCTCTAACTGAAGTCAATTCATAATTAGACTTCAAAATCAGTCATATCATTGAAAATCGAAACTTGAATAAAATAAAATTCACAAACTAGTTAGCCTGCATAACAGCTAACAGGGTGTTACTAAGCATATCATTGGGGCTTCATGTTATAAACTGGCAGAAGTTAGGGTTTCCAGGTGTCACTTTGTAAGGAAATGATTTGTTCCATGTTTGTTCAAGGATTTATACCAGTTACAGACCAATAAAACCAGGGAGTAATGACCAGTTGTTTTGTTCTAGTTCGAAACCCCTGATTGTTACGCACCCATGACCCCCCCCTAAGGGGAACTAACCCAGGAATCCAATAGTCACACATCAGTGCTAACTTCTATCATTTCGCAATTCCTAGCACCACCACCACCAGCCATTATAGTAAGCGAGTATTTATCCTAACAGCCTACCAATTGAACCCCACTGGTCACGAATTCCAACTGGAGCTCCAGGCGATTTCATCCTGTAGTCTAGCACCAGTGAGCATCTCATTGATTTTCAAGTGTTAATTTGTAGTAATGGATTATAAGATTAGATTTCAATCCGAAAGCTAAATAGTAAACATGTTCATTTTGAATTCTGAAGCTCTTGAGTTCCGTTCCTAGCGAAGTCATAACTGTACACTGCCGAAGACACCTGAATCAGGACGAAACTTTTGTCCGTTGTCCGGTTGTTTTCACTGACTCTTTGAGTGACATTTTATTTGAAATAATCTGAACAAAATCATGGTTTGGTTTTCAAGGAAAGTCAAGTTTAGAGTTTATCTAGAAATGCGTACTTGGCATAGATTTTACCACTTGTTTGTCAAAAGATCATTTATCCGGTTGTATTAACAATTATCATAGGAATCGAGTCATTTAATCATTGTGTTCTTGTGAGCTTTCGGTCACTTTGTCATCAAGACAATAGGTTAATTGAACAAAATTCATTGGCGCTTGTAAATTATTCACTTTTTTCAGGTATTGGTTTTGTAGGGATTTTGGTTGATTGGTTAGAGGATTTCATCATGAGCTGACATCAGTTAGCGAACCATTGGAAAACTTGCAGGGAGTACTGGACAGCTGCTTCGTCCCAGTGATGGTCTACGAACTCGCCTTGTAACCAGGAGGTCCTGTCCTCGAACCCGGCGGTCTTGGTGTGTACTGCCGAAGAATCCCGGACTAAGACGAAACAGCTGCCCAGTACTCCGAGCTTGTTTTCTAATGGTTCTCTAACTGACGCCAGCTCGTAGTGAAATCCTCCAACGAATTATTCGATTATTCACAAAAAATCCATTTGACAACATGTAACAAAAAGAAGTCCAGTGGTTGAATCACAAAAATTCTTTTCGGTGATTTTATTTATAACCGGGGTGCATCCATGATGATCTACATTTCTGACTCATGAGTCTGTTCACTGTTTTTTTCTAACGTTTGAAGATATTTTTCTTTTAATAAACATAGTAACAAGTGAAATAGTTAATCATAACTTAAAAATGCCCAGTTGCTAAGACGAGTGGGTACTAATCAATATACAGTAAAGATTGAATAGTCACAACCATTTTCCCTTCACGAGTTACGTAACATTACGTAACACAATACATTTAGTGAATAAATTGTTACCAAGACTAGCATGGAAACAAAAGATGTTGATATTACGTAACAATTGAATGCAAATAAATTATATGAGAGGACGTTTTGAAAAACTAAAAATTACAATTATGAAAAGAGTAAAGGTTGAATGTATCTCTTTCTTATACAAAACTCCATTATCTCCATTGGGACAATTAAAGTTATAGCAGTGACTTTGATAGATTGTTTTTCATCATATAAACAGCTTTGTGGGAGAAGGCAGTTGTTCAGGGTAAATGAACAGTATATAATCGGTTAGAGGATCACTGAAAAACCACTAAAGAATACTAGACAACTGTTTCGTCCTGGATTTGGACTCTTCACAGTACACATTCTCCTGCAGGGTTCGAACCCAGGACCTCCTGGTTTCAAGGCCAGCGAGCCAAAAGACCATTAAGCCACTGGGACCATGAATTACAACTTCTGTCAAGTCTTGATATGGTGCGACCACTAGTGAATGTCATCGCTGGCGAGTATTTGTCCTCACATCCTACCTGCTGTACTCCGATGTCAGTTCATGATGAAATCCTGAAAACAACGAAATCCCTGCAAACCAACACTTGAGTAAATGATCGGTTTTGACACGATGTTTGATTACAGTACTTCCATCACCACCTATCCATAGTCATGCAGAATAAAGTTGTGTGGTCACACTAGATAGGACCAGCCTAATAATTTAATTTTATTTGATAAAACACTCAGTGATACATTATTCTTTATTTAGCGATGACGTTTTGAGCACAATTTGTTGCTTACAATCATATCAAGGTGCAATAATACTCTACCATGATGTCTAAATTCTAGTCTTATGTCAGTGTTGCCAGTGATTTTGCATTAGTGTTAAATATTACAGATATGGCTTTAGTGCAGTGATAAGCAAAGGGATATGACTCAGGATATGAAATGTCTTCATTCGAACAAATTTAACACTCCTATAACTTCATATTACTTGATGATTGTCATGTTAGCACACAAGATGACTGTGATAACAAATACAGTAACTCTCGGTTGTGCTGTGTCACAAATTGGTGGGAGTTAGAATTCATCAGCTAACCTTATAGCTTGAACGGATCCCTGGCGGGTTTATGAGTGTCCATTCCTGGAAAGTCTCGAACTAGGACGAAACAGCTATCCACTACTCTCTGATACCCAGTGGTTGTCTAAATGAAGTCATTTAATAGTAAGAATATCTTTATTCTGGACATTATTTATAAAATGTACAGAATTTTCAAAGGAGTTTATTCCATGATATTTTCCCTTAGTACAGTATATCCTGTGACACAGTGATCTCTGAGCTGAACTACAAACTATTCCATTATAATACATCTGCTTTGTCTCTGCTTCAAGAAATTCACGATATCTAGTTGAAGGCCAATTGTAAGATGTTCAGAAGTACATTTTGTGACCCAAGGATATAATTCAAGAACACTTATTTCATGTATTGGGACACTCTACCACCCTCAATCAGGCCTTCCCTCAAGTTTAGTAGGAACTTGCAAATCAGAAGAAGACAATACCAATAGAGGTCATATCTTAATCGATTAAAACAAACCTAAGGAGAGAAAATATATACAATAGACAGAGGGAAGTTTTTGGCAGTCCAACTTTTAAGCAGGCCACCTATTAATGCGATCAAACTTGATTTGAGTGAGTTTAAACCTGAATAAAATTTAAATGGTGGATAGTGACTAGCAGTAGAATCTAGGATGCGCATTTCGTCCTATTTTGGGACTCGTCAGCCAATGGATGTGCCTGCATTTCTCAGTGAGTGGTGATTTTCCCACCGAGGCTGGAACACAGTAGCCATAGTTTCAAACGCCAAAGCGTTATCCACTAGACCACTAAGGCCACGATGAAATTAATATGACCCGTTGCACAAGAGGTGGCTGGCTCTCGTGGCCCAAGTGGTCTAGTGGATAACGCTTTGACGTTTGAAACTATGGGTACTGTGTTTGAACCTCAGTGGGAACATCATCACTCACTGAGAAATGCAGGTACATCCATTGGCTGACGAGTCCCAAATAGGACGAAATGCGCATCCTGGATTCCACCACTGCTAGTCACCATCCACCAATTAAATACTAACTAAATGCCCAGACATCGTCGAAGCATCTGCACAAGAAGCCGATATGTCAACGTGAGACCGAGCACTTTGGTCCAATCAACCGACTAGAAAATCTCAAATTCAATAAAACCTGAATAAAATCTTTTAAAAGTATTAGTGTCCATGTCATTATCAGTCCATAAAACTAGTAAATACAGTATTTATATGAATAGGTGAATTTTGTAAGAGAATTTAATATCTTTCAGATGAAAATACTACTCCAGAAGACTTTCACAACTTTATTCTGGACTCACTGATCTATACATGCCACCTACTTATAAAGCTTGAGTTAGGCAAATAAAAATCGTTACAAATGCTGAATTCTTTAACCAGGTGTTAGTGAGGTGCAATAATCGTGAGAATAGCGTTTGGAAATTCTTCCATCTTTCATTTAATATTATTATTATTTAAAGGATACGAAAAGGAATG